TCCGGACTCCCGTGCCCTGCGAGAGGGGCGGGAGGGTGCCTCCCGTTCGCGGTGTTTGGATTGCGGTTTGAGCTGTGAGACGCAGCTATTCCTGTTTCTACACGCAGGTTTACATGTTCCGCTAGAGTGCGGAGCATTGCCTAGAGGGCAGTCCCAGCGGGGACAGTTTGCGTTTGCCAATGCTTCGCTAGAGTGCGGAGCATTGCCTAGAGGGCAGCCCAAGCGGGGGCAGTTTGCGTTTGCCGATGCCCCGCTAGAGTGCGGAGCATTGCCTAGAGGGCAGTCCCAGCGGGGACAGTTTGCGTTTGCCGATGCTTCGCTAGACTGCGGAGCACTGCCTCGAGGGCAGTCCCAGTGGGGGCAATTTGTTTCATTCTTTGCGTTTGATGATGCTTCGCTAGAGTGCGGAGCATTGCCTAGAGGGCAGCCCCAGCGGGGGCAGTTTGCGTTTGCCGATGCTTCGCTAGAGTGCGGAGCATTGCCTAGAGGGCAGTCCCAGCGGGGATAGTTTGCGTTTGCCGATGCTTCGCTAGAGTGCGGAGCATTGCCTAGAGGGCAGTCCTAGTGGGGACAGTTTGCGTTCGCCGAAGCTTCGCTAGAGTGCGAGGCATCTGCCTTGAGGGCAGCCCCAGCGGGGACAGGTTTGCGCATGCTCGCCATCAGGGCGGCCTCAACGGAGGCGGTGTCGCGGTGTGTTGCTACAGGGCCAATTCCCGCGGGGAGTAGTTTTGCGGGCATTTGTTCGGGGAAAGATGACATGATCTTGATCTTGTGGCCGGGGTCGCCACTGTGACTGTCCGGCGGCGTCGTTTGGCGCATTATTTCCGTGCTCTTTGGACGATATCGATATGCCTTCTGTCCTCGATCTCGCCTTGCTTTGGGAACAGGGGTCGTTTGGCACTGGCGGCACCCAATCCGTTACCCTTGCGAACTTGTTCCCATGCTTTGGCTGGGGTTCTTGGTGTCCAATTTGTTCGCCCTCTGTTCCCTTAGCAGGGCGGGGTCGAGGATCCTCCTCCTCAATAATATTTGGTGGCGCTGTGTAAGTGTATTGTTATTGCATCTTGTGGGGCGATGGCTCTTCGGGATGCTTCCCTCGTGCAGGTGGTGGCTCCGTCTATGACAGCGAGTCTCTATAATGGGCACGGTGTGCTCTCGTTATCGCGTCGATACAATCGTAGGCGCGCGGATTCTTACCGGCGGTAAGGGGCTCGCGTGCTAGCCTATAATCTGCCCTGGGGGCTACGATAGCGATATCGTTCGCCACGCGCTTCTCCGGGGTGGCTTTGCTTGTCGCCAGCCATGGTAGGCATTGTTAGGTCGAGTGCCTCTAGTGAGACTTAGGTGCCCGTGGAGGCGGAAGGGGGCCGCGAAGGGGCGGCTGTTCTTGCTCGGTCTTCTGTTGTTTGGCAGTATCGGGGAGTAAGTAGTGACCTTGTTGCGGGCTTCTTTGGGTTACTGGTTGGCTTGACTCGCTGGGGACGCACTACCGGGGATGGTCCCCTGCGTGCTCTTTCAGTTTTTGCGCCGCTGCGTCCAGGTGCAACAGCTTCTACCTTTGGTCCGTTACACGGGGCAGTCCCGCCCCGCCGGTAGGGACGTTCTCGTAGATGTTACTCACGTTTGCTGGCTGGCGCTCGGACGCTTTTGGATTTGTGTCACGAAGACCTCTGTAGGCGCCGGGGCGGTTTGTGCCCAGGGCAGCTACGTTTCGAGTGATGCGGGCTTTAAGGCTTTGCTGTGTTTACTATGGCGGAATTGGTGTCTTCGCTATATTGCCGGTTCCGGATGTAGATGTAGTCGTGATCTTCTTTTCCGCGGTTTCATGGAGCTCGCCTTCCGTCCGGGCGATGGATTGCTCCGGAGTGGTGGCTCTGGGGCAAGTGGGGCTGGGCTGGCGCTCCTCTCCCCCCATTCAACCACCTGCGGTGGGGTTCTGGGGGGTCTTGCCTGTTGGCCTGGTGGTGGTGGAGTGGGTCG